GTCACACTTGTCTAGCATCTTCACCGTACACTAAATACTTATTTGACAGAGGTAATTTTGAATCTATTAACGAAGAGATTGCGGCCATTGACTGGGTGTGTGAATTCGGAAGTAAATCTCTTGGTGACTCACTTAACTTTTTTTATAATACCTTATCTGAGTTACAAGATAAATATGTTCCCAAGAGGCGGGTTTACAATAATACCTACCCTATATGGTATTCTTCCCAACTTAGGAGACTCTTAAAGGATAAATACAAATATCATCGCAAATTAAAGGTATATGGCAGATTGGCGGATGAGGTGACCTTTAAACATCTACGCGAGAGGATCACCAGACTTGAAAGTGAATGTTACACTGCTTACATAGCTAGTACAGAAGCCGGTATTAGAGTAAATCCGAAGCGATTTTGGAGCTTTGTCAAGCATCGCTCCAGGTCTGGCACTATACCTGGCTATTTAACTTACGGTGACGCCACGGTTTCCTCCACGATGACTATCTGCGAAGCATTCTCCACCCACTTTCGTTCCACCTTTCTAGAACCGGACATTGACTCCCATGTGTCTCAAATTCGTAACCATGACGTCTCGACTGCATCTGACATTCATTCTATTGAAATTAAGGTCGATTCAATTATGAGATTGTTGTCCAACCTCGACCCTCACAAGGGCGCTGGGCCGGATAGGATGTCACCCAAATTTCTTATTAAGTGTGCTAAATCTATAGCTCTTCCAGTCTCCCTATTGTTTACAAAATCTTTATCTACAAGTACTGTACCCCACGTCTGGAAGTCTGCCTATATTACACCCGTGCATAAAAAAGGTCCAAAAACTGAAATCACCAACTATAGACCTATCTCAAAGCTATGTATCTTGGGCAAAGTATTTGAGAGGGTGATATATGATCAGGTCTACGCGGCTCTTGGGAATTGTTTTAGTCCCTTCCAACACGGTTTTTTAAGGGGTCGTTCGACTGTTACGAATTTGGCTGTACTGAACGATTTCGTGTCGCGAAGCATGGATGGTGGAGCTCAGGTCGATGTAGTTTATACAGATTATTCGAAATGTTTCGATCGAATAGATCATACAATTCTCCTATCTAAATTATGGCTTGCAGGTATCCACGGGGATTTGCTTCGATGGTTCGCATCATATCTTGCATACAGGACTCAGGCCGTTGTTATCAATAATTATATATCTAGTTGGGTACCCGTTCCTAGCGGGGTCCCACAAGGCTCTTTGTTGGGCCCCTTACTCTTCATATTATACGTGCACGACATCGATTCTTGTTTCCATTCTTCTCATTTACTCTGTTTCGCTGACGACATGAAGATTTATTCAGCTGTCTCATGCTTCAATGACATGGTGGCTCTTCAGTCGGATTTGGATCGATTAGATGAGTATTGTCAGCGTAACAAACTGGACCTGAATCCTGCGAAGTGTTCAGTTATTACTTATAGTCGTAAACGTAGCACATTGCCAACAACTTATAGGTTGAGGATGCAGGTGGTACCCAGATGCGATGTAGTGAGGGACTTGGGCGTTTACCACGACCGTAAACTCCTGTTTGATAACCATATTGAAGAGATAGTTGGTAAGGCATATAGAGCACTTGGTTTTATTATGAGGGTCTCTAAAGATTTCAAACAGGCAAAAACACTCAAGATTTTGTACTGCACTTACGTAAGAAGCCACTTAGAATATGGATCGCAAATATGGAATCCTTGTTACAGTACTTACATCCAGCGACTGGAGGCAATTCAACAGCGCTTTATTAAATTTCTTTGCTTCAAACTTCATGTTCCATATAGCTCAGACAAATATCTGGAATTGTGTAGGCAGTTTCATATTCTGCCCCTTACCAATCGCCGTCGGATAGCGGATTGTACCACACTGCTAAAAATCATCTCAAATGAAATTGACTGTCCCGATCTCTTGTTCAAACTCTCTTTCAATGTGCCATGCAGATCTATTCGTTACAATCCCCCACTTTTAATTCGGAATTCCTCAACGAGGTATAGGCAGAATTCCTTTATTATGCGTGCAAGCAGAGACTTAAACAACTTGTGTAAGGAGTATCCAATAGATCCGTTTGTGACGCGGACTTCTGCGGTGCGAAGGATGCTCACCCTACAGTTTTTTAATTGATCAATGAATTAAGTGGGTAACTTGGTTTATTATTAATTTGTTATTGTTGGTAGTATGGTTGGTGTGTGTTTAATTTTTATGTTTTT